GGCCCGGCCTGGCGCTGGCGGCTGCGCGCGGGCCCGAGGCGCCGCCTGGTTCACGTCCCCAGTCATACCGACGGTGATCCCGCGGGCGGAGCGGCCTGGACCTGCTTCCCGCTGGACGAGCGCGCCCTGGTGCGCGTGCGCGGTCCGGACGCTGCGTCCTTCCTCGGGGGGTTGCTGACCAATGAGCTGCCGCTTCCGGGTTCTGCGGCCGGCGCGACTCCGGCTCCTGCGCGCGCGGGTTACGCTCACTTCCTGAACGTGCAGGGCCGGACGCTCTATGACGTCATTCTGTACCGGTGAGCGCCGGCGGGCGGGGTGCCGGGGCAGGGCTGGGGCACGTTGGGGTAGGGGAGCGAGCCGGGGCCGGAGCCGGGGGGAGGGTCGGGAAAGGGAACCCAGGAGGCAGACACCCAGGGGCGTGCGCCAGGGACCGGCACGCAGGGGCTGGATGGGTCCCCAGGATTAGGCCTGCAGAGGGCGTCGGGGTGGGGCGGAATCGACACTGGGGGAGGGCACCCGCGCCCAGGGGAGTGTGCTCGGGGATGGGCACCCGGCGCCCCGGGGCGGTCCACTCAAGGGAGTCCACACAGAGTCCACTCGGGGGTGGGCACCAGCACCCGGAGGAGTCCGTTCAGAGGAGGCCAAACTGGGGAGTCCACGCAGCGGAGGGAAGGCAGGGCTGGACTCCCAGGGGCAGCGAGCGGCTCCCGCCCAGGACCGGGTCTGGGCGCCCACCGGCCCAGAGCAGGGGGGCACCTCCTCAGTGGGGGCTGCCTCTCAGCCCTGCCCTGGCCACCCTCCTTCACTGCAGGGAGAAAGGGTCAACACCCCTGGCCCGCCTCCTGACTGACAGCTTGTGCCGATGCTCTCCGGCTTGCCCTGTGTTTCCCTGTCTCCCCTTCCCATGTCTGCCCGCGTCTGGTGGTGGTAGTGTTGGGTCCAAAGCTGACATTACTGACCCTAAACCACGGTAGCTGGCCAAGCCGGGCCATGGGCCTGGATTGTTTAAGGTGCTGGGTTTCCCTTTGCCGGGCTTCCTGGGACCTGAGTCCCTGTGATCTCAGCGCCATCCTGGCAGGTGGGCATGTGTCAAGGGATCCACGCCGGGCTGTCTCTCGGGGCTCTCCCCGGTGGTCAGGAGTGGTCCCCCTGGCCTTCCCGGCCTGCAGCACGCTGTCCTCCTCCACCCGCTCGGCTCTCCTGTTTCATGTTCCTCAGTGTGCTCCCCCGTTTTGGTTTTAGAGGAGCACCTTCTTTAGTGGCTTCCTGAGACACGTGAGGTGGCTTCACTCCATAGCTTGGCTGGGTGTCAAAGTCCAGGTGGAGAATTGTCACTGGGAATTTCGCAGCCACGACTTCACCATCTTCCTGCCGCCAGCCTTTCCGTGGGGATGTCTAGCCCTTTTCTGCGTGAACTGCTTCTTTCTCTGGAAGCTCTTAGGATCTTTTCTTTATTAGTCCGTTTTGCTGCTTATAACGGAATATCTGAACTGGGTGATGTATAAAGAAATGAAATTTATTTCTTACAGTTTTTGAGGCTGTGAAGTTCATGGTCCAAGGGGCGCATCTGGTGAGGGCCTTGTTCTGAGTGGGGACTCTCTGCAGAGTCCTGTGGCAACCAGGGTGTCACATATTGAGAATGGCAAGAGCTCTCTTGTGTGCTCCTTATAAAGCCACCAGTTCACGCCCATGATAACTCATTACTCCATGAATAGATTAATCCATTCACAAGAGTTCAGTCCTCATAATCTGATACCTCTTAAGGGCCCTGCCTTTCAAATATCATAATCGGCTTTCCCACCTTCAAAACACTATCACAGTGGGGATCAAGTTTCCAGTACATAGCACTGGCCACTTAGAGCACAGACTTATAACACCAAGGTCAAGGGTTTGGATCCCCATGACCTCTCCCAGGCCGCCCTGTGTGTGGGTTATGGCTCAGTGTGGCTGTCCCGCCCACCTCACTTATGGGCACTTGTTGAGTTTCTGTTCATGAGGGTGGGCTGTTTTCCTTGTTGGTTGCTGTTGGCTGTTTATCTTTCTGTACTTTGCCCTCTCGGCTGCTCCTTTGGGGGGAGTCGGGGGCATCTCTCCCTGGAAGCCCCCATATGTTCCTGCTTCCTCTGGAGGTTTCCTGCCTGGCATTTTCTATCTCTCTCTGTATCTCTGTCTTCACTCTCTGTCTCTGTCTCTCTGTATCTTTTTTTTTTTTTCCTTTTTGTCTTTTTTACTGACCGGTAACGGGATCGCAACCCTCAGTGTTGCGCCCGCACCGGGGACCGGCAACGGGATCGCAACCCTCGGTGTTGCGCCCGCACCGCGCTCAGCCAGTGAGCGGGAACTGGTCTCCACATGGGATCTGAACCCTCAGCGGGAGCGCTGCCGCGCTCTCAAGCGGCGCACTCTCCAGTGCGCCACCAGGCCGGCCCTCTCTCTCTGTATCTTTTTATCCTTGATGTCTTTATACAAATCTCCAGATTTTTTTTATTTCAACTCTCATGCTTCTGATTTCTTATCCTTCAGTCTTTCCTTCCTAAAAGCACCTGTTCTTAGTTCTTGGATACAGCACCTTTGCAGGTGAAGCTATGGTTTTTTATGGTTGTTTTTCTAGTAGAACTTACCTTATAGAACAGTTTTAGGATCAGAGCGAAATTGAGCAGAAGGTATGGAGAGTTCCTACAGACTCCCCATCCCCCATGCACAGCCTGTCCCACCATCAACATCGCCCACCAGAGGGTGCCCTGGTACAGTCGGTGAACCTGCATGGATATGTCCTTATCACCCAGACTCCAATGTTTATGTCAGGGCTCACTCTCGGTGTGGTGCATACTGTGGATTTGGACAAATGTATAATGACACGTATCCACCACTGTAGTATCACAGAAAATAGTTTCACTGCCCTAAAAATCCGCTGAGGTCTACCTGTTCATCCCTGCCTCCCCCACCCCTGGCCACCACTGGTCTTTTTCTGTCTCCACAGTTTTGCCTTTTCTAGAAGGTCACACAGTGGAATCATGCTGTGTGTAGCCTTTTCAGACTGACTTCTTTCATTAGCAATATGCATGTAAGCTTCCTCCTTGTCTTTTCGTGGCTTGATAGCTCATTTCTTTTTAGCCCTGAATAGTGCTCACTGTCTGGATGCAGCACAGCTTGCTTACCCACTCACCTGCTGAAGGACATCTGGGTTGCTAACAAGTTTGGGCAGTTGTGAGTAAAGCTGCCATGAACAGCTAGTGAAGGTTGTTGTGTGGACATAAGTTTCGGCTCCTTTGGGTAAACACAAGGAGTGTGACTGCTGAATCATGTGGTCAGAGTGTGTGTAGTTTGTCAGAAACCGCCAGACTGTTTCCCACAGTGGCTGCAGCATTCTGCGCTCCCACCAGGAGGAACGAGGGTCCCTGCTGCTCCGCACCCTCGCCAGCACTGGGTGTTGTTAGTGTTATGGGTTTTGGTCCTTCTATGAAGGGTGTGGTGGTTTCTTGTTTTAATTTGCATTTCCCCTTGGCATCTTTTCATATGCTTCTTTGTGTCTTCTTTCGTGAGGTGTCTTAGGAGGTCTTTGGCCCATATTTAATTGGGTTGTTTTCTTATTGTTGAGATATAAGAGGCTGGCCAAGGAGCAGGAGAGACTTGCCAGGCCTGTGCGTGGCTGAGCCCGTCCTCAGTGCTGCCGTCCTCGCAGGAGCCCACTTAACAAAGGAGTGATTGAAAACCCTTGGATCTGATGGGATCCTCCTTTCGCGGACCTCCAGGCACCTCCAGGCACATCCAGCCTGCTCCTTGGCAGGACATCTGGGACCCAATCCCTGCTCATGCCCGGGTCCCTCGCCCCTGCCCCTGCCTCAAACCCAACCCTGCCCGGGGCCTGTGCCAGCCTTTGCAGGAGCTGCCGGTTGGTACCTGGATACAGAGCTCTGCAGGTAGGGAGGAGGTGCTCCAGCCAGGCTGGGGTTAGGTGAGGAGGGGGTCCTGGCTTCCACGCCCTGGAGGCTGTGCCCGTCCTCTGTGGGTTCTCAGAGTCTTGGCCCCACTAGGAGAAGGGTGAGTGCATGCCCGGCACTGCGGTACCACTGTACCGCCTGCTGCCGCCCTCCTCTTCCTGGGCTCTTGCAGCCAGGTGGGGCTGTGGGCTCAGCAAGTGAAAGTCCAGGATGCCCGCGCAAGTCTCAGACAAGCAGCGGATGCTTGGTTGTGTGAGTGTGTCTCACACAGTATTATTACTATATCTCAAATATTAATAAAAAATCCTTTGTTGTTGATCTAAATTCAGATTGAACTAGGCATCCTAGATTTTATCCAGCAGTCCTGCCCCTGAGGAACACTCAGCAGTGTCTGGTGATATTTTTGGTTGCCACAACAGGGGTGGGGGGTGGGCGGAGGACAGGAGTGCTCTGAATATCTGGATGGCACCCACCGTGCAGAATGATCCTGCCCAGATGTCAGTGGTGTGGTGGCTGAGAAAGCTGTCCCAGATGAGGAGCCCACCATACCTTCGTTCCTGGCCCGGCTCTGGGTGCAGCTGGGCCTCCCCCATTACTCCACTGCAGCAGGGGGTGGGGTGGGAGTGACTTGGGGTCACATCCTGGCTCCATTGGTCCCCAGGTCCTGCCTGGTGACAGTCACAGGCACAGCCAGCTGGAAAGTGCCCTGGACCCTACAACCTGGAGCCCTTGAGGACATCACCCTGTGAGCGAGGCCGGGGTGACCAGCAGATTGGCTTATGTCACTCACCATAACACCCTCAGATCTACCCAACTTAGTCAGTAACTTGGCCCTTTTTCTTGCTGAGGACTGTCCCGTGGTGTGGTAGACCCGTGTGTTTCACTTTCTGGCTGTCACGAATAAAGCTGGCTGCTATGGACAGTCACGTGCAGGTTTCTGTGTGTTCTTGGTTTCACTTGCCTGAGATAAATGCCCAGATGTGAGATTGTGGGGTGTATGTTAGTGGCGTGTTTGATTTTGTTGGAAACTGCAGACTGTCTTCCAGAGAAGCTGGGCCGTCTTATTCCCACCAGCAGCATGGGAGGGATCCATTGTCTCCGCACCCTTGCCAGTGGTCTAGGCATTACAGCTTTCAGTCTCAGTTGTTCTGATGGCATGAGGGTGGCATCTCAGGGTAGATCTGATCTGCGTTTCCCTTGTGACAAATGGTGTTGACCTCGGTTCACACTTAATGTGAGGCGGCTCCTCTGAACTCTCAGCCATTCCCTCTGGCATTTTAACCCCACATTTGCAAACGATGTCCTTAATCCTGTCCCTTGCTGGTGTCGTTTTTGGTATTCTGTGATTACTATTTTGGAAGGTGAGCCAGCTTGACTGGCTGCTGCAGCTTGCTCTGCCTGATCCTCCCCACAGCTCTGTGGCCTCTGGCTTGCGTGACGAATGCATGGCAGGAGTTGCACTGCAGGGGAGAGAGCTTGGCATGGCAGTCCATGGCTGCTGCAGCTTGCTCTGCCTGATCCTCCCCACAGCTCTGTGGCCTCTGGCTTGCGTGATGAATGCATGGCAGGAGTTGCACTGCAGGGGAGAGAGCTTGGCATGGCAGTCCGCTGAATGATCCTCTGCGACTCTGGAGATGACCTTACCACTCCTGCTCACGTGCTCTTCTCTTGTATGCCCTCTGGGGGGGGGGTCTTTCCTACCTCCCTGTCCCAGCTCCCTCCAGGCTGTGGACCTTTGCTCAATCCACGTCTGCAACCTGCACCCAGCCCTGTCATCGTTGTATCCAGGATGTCTCCACTTAGCTCCCTCCCCCACCTCACACCTCAGATGCGCACACTGCAGTAGCTTCTCCTCTGTGGCCACCTGTCTGCAAGTGGCCCTGACGTCCATCTGGCAGGGGCATTCTAGTGATGCCAGCTCAAGTCCCCTGGTGAGAGCTGTCTGGAACGCAGGTTAGGATGGTTCTGGGGCCCTGATCGATTCCAAGACTTGGCTCAGGGAGTTGGACAGTGGTCATGGGCAGTGTGTGGCCTCACTGAGTATTCTGCACCCTGATGACCTGTCTGTTGGTCTCCCAGGTCCTCCTTCCTGCCCACCGTCAGAGGACCCCACCTTAGTACCCTTGGGTTCCTCAATGGCTTCCCCAGGTTGGAGGAGGCAGGTCCTGGCTGTCCACACCTTTCCACCTCACCTGAGTATGACACCTCCTACCCAGAGGTTCACTTCCCCTGGGCCCTGCTCTTCTGCCCTGCCGGGCCCTGTCCATTCCCTCTCCTCTAAACAGGGACGACTCGTTATTTCCTACCTGGGCAGAGTGAATACTATGGGCGATGCCCTTTGGTGGGCTGTCGTTAGCTCTGCGAGAAGCTGCAGGCAGGCTGGGTCTGTCTGCCCTCACAGACGCGTGCTCCAGAGGCTCAGCCCCACACGGCGGTGGGCGTGGCTCTCCGTGGCTGGTCTTCGCAATGTGCTTGTCTGCTCTTGAGGACACAGGTTCTGAGGAGGCAGCCCCACGTGGCTCTCTGCCTGCTGGTCAACCCCTTGGTGCCTCGGTGCGCTTGTCTGCCCCCCTGTGGACGTGCGCTCTGGGGGGCGCAGTCCCATGCGTCCATGGGCAAGGCGCTCTGTGCCTTGGTCCCAAGGTGTAATTATCTGCCCCTGACAACATGCGTTATGGCTGGCACATTGGTCCCCTATGGTGCACTTGGGTGCCCCATGGGCAAGGCGCTCTGTGCCTTGGTCCCAAGGTGTAATTATCTGCCCCTGACAACATGCTTTATGGCTGGCACATTGGTCCCCCATGGTGCACTTGGGTGCTGGCACCGACGCGTGCTCTGGCGGTGCAGCCCCGTGTGGCCCGGAGTAGAGTGCTTTGCGTGTAGGTCACCGGCTGCACTTGTCTGCCCATGACAACACAGCCCGAGCGGCTATGGGCAGGGCTGTCTGCGCGCTGGTCCCCTGGGGTGCACTTGTCTGCTGGGGCAGGTGTGCGCTCTGGAGAGCTGCTCTGTGTGGCTGGGAGCAGAGGCTTTGCCTGTAGGTCGCTGGGGTTTGCCCATGACGATGCGTGCTCTGGCAGCACGGCCTGTTCATACAGCCAGGGGCACAGCTCTTTCCACTTTGGTCCTCGCCATGCCCTTGATGAGCTAGCGGTGGGCAGGGGCTTTTGCTCACCCCCACAAGCCTTTGCCTGTCTCCCTGCAGGCTCCATGAACGCTCCGAGGAGGTGCAGGACTTCCTCCTGGAGTGTGATAGCTCCGTGCTAGGCGCTTTGCAGAAGCACCTGGTGCTGTACAAGATCCGGCGGAAGGTCACAGTGGAGCAGATGCCGGAGATGCGCGTGTGGGCGGTGCTGCCCAACACCCCTGAGGCCGGTCGGGCTGCGCCGCTGCAGGAGAGAGCAGAAGCCCCCGCCATCCTCACTCGCGACCCCCGGACTGCGCGCATGGGGTGGCGGCTTCTCACCCAGGGAGAAAGCCCGGGCCTGGTGCGTGGAGGCCGACTCGGGGACCGCTGGGATTATCACCACCACCGGTACCAGCAAGGTATGGACGGGTGGGCCTGCTGGGCTGGAAGGGAGGAAGAGGATGCGGGGGCGGGTCGGGTTCGGGGAGCCGAGAGGCAGAGGGGACCGGGGTGGGGTTGCTGAACAGGAGAGAAGGGGCGGGTGCTTGGGACTGGTCGCACCCATCTGGCTGATCTCGTTGGTCTCTCCCCTGCGGTCTCCACAGGCGTTCCCGAGGGGGTCCGTGACCTGCCCCCAGGGGTAGCCTTGCCTCTGGAGTCCAACCTGACCTTCATGAATGGCGTGAGCTTTACCAAGGGCTGCTACATCGGCCAGGAGCTGACGGCCCGCACCTACCACATGGGCGTCATCCGCAAGCGCCTCTTCCCCGTGCGGCTCTTGGGTTCCCTCCCTGTCGGCGGCGTCACCCCTGGCACCTCAGTGCTGACTGCGTCGGGCCAAGCAGCCGGCAAGTTCAGGGCCGGCCAGGGGGATGTGGGACTGGCCCTGCTGCAGTCGGAGAAAATCAAGGGTCCTCTTCACGTGACAACCTCAGAGAGCGGTCAGGTGGCCTTAACTGCGTCCGTGCCAGACTGGTGGCCCATGACCACCAAGTAGCCCTGGGTGCCCTTGGGTCGGACAAGCAGGCGGAGCTGCCTGGGTAGCTGAGGGTCTCTGTCCCAGGTCTTCCTGTCCATCTGCTGTGCCCTGCTGGGTGTGAGCCTGACTTCCCACGGTGGTCCTTTTGAACACCCCACTTGGGAAAGTCCCCGCGTGTATGTGTGCCGTCCAGAGCTGCAGGCATGGTTTGTCGTGGTGTGGCTGTGCCCAGCCCCCACTGATGCCTCCTGCAGAGCCTGCCACACTCGTGGGCTGCCCTCTCCCTGGGAGCCCTCTGGCTGGGAGCAGCAGGAACCCTCCTGGGGATGGGGGGAGGGGAGATGCTGCCTGCCCAGCCCCCACTGATGCCTCCTGCAGAGCCTGCCACACTCGTGGGCTGCCCTCTCCCTGAGAGCCCTCTGGCTGGGAGCAGCAGGAACCCTCCTGGGGATGGGGGGAGGGGAGATGCTGCGGGAGCCCACCTGTGTGCTGCACTCAGCCTCAGCTTGGGCCAGACCCCGAACGCAGTCACACGGCTCCGATGGCCGAGGTCAGGATGGCGTCTGTGCCCAGAGCAGATCCTGGGCCTTGCACCCCACTTGCCTGCTCTCCATGGCGTCGGAGGCAGGGTGCCATCTGGGGTTGGCGGGTGGGTAAGGGCTGGGCTTTGGGAATTGTTTTATGGTGCTCCAAGTCACGTCTCAGGCGGGGCGTTGTGTGTGGTCGGATCGTGTATGTTGGATCCGGTGGGGTGGGTGTGTCTGCGCATGGAGGGCCAAGCACTGCACACCTGTGCCCACCTGAGTGAACCCGGCCTCCGCAAGTGCTCCGCTGTGCACTGGGTTGTGTCTCCTCTCGGTTGTTCCGCACCAGCGATTGCTAGGGCTGCCCTCTGCCCTGGGCACACCAGCACTGCCCTCCTCCTGGGCATGGTGGCGGGCCGGGCGGGGAGGGGCTTCTGTTTGTTTGCCTGTTTGCCCTGTTTTCTGTGAGGGGATGACTTGCTGTCATCCACCCTTTTCAACCACTAGCTTCCATCATCCTGCTGTGATGTGAGCTCCATCCCTCGGGGCGTGTCACCTGGAGGCCCAGAGTGACTATTAAAGCTGACCTACAAGCAGCCTGTTCAGAACTGTTTTTCATTTTGGGTGGCAGGAGGCTGGGACTTGGTTTCGGGATACTAGATAGAGGGAGCGCCCTCCCTGGAGAACAACTGAACGCTCTGCGTAAAACATTTCAGCAGCGTTGTGAGATGGCCATAAGGGAGAGGTTCAGGGACCCAGACTGAGTGAGTGGGTGCCGAGTCCACAGAGGTGGGATGTCACCTGTAGAGCCTGGGGCACAAGGTTGCCAAGTCGGTACACGAGGGTGGCCGCAGAGCCAAGTGGGGAGGGAGCCCACTCTAAGAACCTGTGGCCGCAGTGGTCACATGGTCCAGTGTCAACTGTGAGCATGGAGCTTGGGGAGAGCATGGTAGAAGAGGAAGGAACTGAGGGGGAGAGGGGACCTGGCCACTGGCCTGAACGGTCTGGAGAGTTGAAGGTGAGGAAGATGGGGTTGAGGGCCAGGACAGCTGGACCAGTTGAGGTGCACAACCCTCTTAGGCAGGGAGACAGCCGGGCAGTCCCAACTCCCTACCCCTCATGACACTGACATCAGGTGGTCAGGCCAGCGGGCTATACCCACCTCAGGCACAGCTCTTGGGGCGCAGGCTGGCCGGCCCCTGAGCTGACGGCACAGGGAGAGCGGGGGCCAAGACAGAGGCCACTGGTCCTTCGGCTTTTCCTCCAGCTTTCTGCTTTCTGTAGAAACATGTATGTCAGGCTTTTTTTTTTTTTTAATTGAGCTTTGGTGTACTGGAGAGGGGACATTTTATTTTATTATTTTTATTTATTTATTTTGACCAGTAAGGGGATTGCAACCCTCGGCATGGTGTGGTATGCACCATGCTCAGCCAGTGAGGGAACCGACTATCCCTATATAGGATCCAAACCCGTGGCCTTGGTGTCATCAGCACCGTACTCTCCCAAGTGAGCCACGGGGCCGGCCCGGGAGGGGACATTTTAACAGGAGAGCTCCATGCTCTGGAAACCTTCAGTAGTGGGCACAGCAGCCTGTGCACAGGTGCTTTATAAGCAGGTGGCATGGTGCCACTTCAGCCCCCACTGGCTGCTGCTTTTAAACTTACTTTTGTTTTTTCTTTTTGGTGGCTGGCCCATACAGGGATCTGAACCCTTAACCTTGGTGTTATAAAGCTGTGCTGTAACCAACTGAGCTAACTGGCCAGCCTAGGCTGCTGCTTTTAAACTGACATTGAGACACTTGATTGGCATTGGAAGCCAGTCTTCCCCACCCCCCAATTGCAGCCAGGCATTGGTCCTCATGGCCTGCGTGACCGGGAGCTGGGAGTCACACAGAGCTGGGTGTCACCTGCTTGAGTGGGTGTGCCCCAGCTTAAAAATGCTCAGGGTTCTTCAGCTTCCGTGGTGAGCTGAGGCCGCAGCAAGGTATCCTCTTCATGCAGCAGTGTGTGTCCCCAGGGTGTGGCAGGTTAGGGGAGGGCCAGTAACCAGAAGGGAAGCAGCCATGGCATCATTTTAAGTGTGGGCAGATTTGCCGTGAGACACTGCTTTAACTCTCGGTGTCCCCTAAACTTCTTCAGGGCTTGCCGAGTACTGGGATCTCAAAATATGTGGTTCACATCAAACAAATACACATTCCATGTTCTGTCTCCATGGTTTTAAAAAGGAAAGTACCATGCCACAAAAATGCTTGCTCTGACTACAGCCACAACTGGTCCTTTCAGAAAGCCCTGTCTTCCAGGGCCTCAGAATTTGTTTTGTAAGAAGTATGAAGTTCTGAAAAGTGAACTGTCATGGTTTTTTAAGAAATAGAGTAGGCGCAGTCGGTAGTATTTTCAGAAGGCTCTTTTAGAGAAACTCACCTCCGAGTCAGGCCTCAGAGGGGGAATCTCCCAAGGAATGTTCACTTATTATAAGGTCGTCATCATCGTCGTCGTCTAATCCCCAAGGAAACAAGCTCCCTGTTCTGTGCCCTTTTATGGTATGGTCAGTCAGGTGCGCCCGCAAGGGGACACACAGGAGGCCTCAGGGAAACAGAGTTGCTTGTTTCCATAGGTCATAGAGAGGGGTCACCCAGCGCCACGCAGGGAGTCGCAGTGCAGTCAGGAGGCAGGCGGGCCGGAGCAAGGGAGAGCTGAGGCCAGGGCTGTTTTTGGTTTCCCGGGAATGGTAAGACAGGGCGAGCAGGTTAGGATGCCTACTTTGAATCATTTCAGCAGGCTCTAAGCTACAGGGGTGGTCCCTAGTTGTGCGGGGCCCCAGATAGAGGAGTGGGGATCTGGGTTGGCAGTTTGCATGCTGAGCCACCGGCTGGGCCCTTTCTTATCTCTGAGGCTCACCCAGGGAGCGGCAGTCTCTCTCCAGCCAGAAAGGTTTTTTAAGATGTCAAGACATAATATGCAGGAAAAAAATTAAAACACATGCATATCATACAATACCATGAACACAAGCCAACAGAAAAACAGACAGTAGAATCAAATCCACAAATTTTCAGGTATTGGAGTAACCAGACACATAATATAAAATAAATACTTTAAATATATTTAAGGAAGTAAAATGAGGCATTTAGGCCGGCTGGTTAGCTCAGTTGGTTAGAACATGGTGTTATACCACCACAGTCAAGGGTTCAGATCCCAGTACTGGCCAGCCACCAAAAAAAGAGGAATTTACATATGAATAAGAAACAAGAGACTGTAGAAATGATCAAATGCATTTAAAAAAGAAAGAGCACTTAAATAAACAAAAATAGAATATTCGAAAAAAATCCAAGTGTATTTTCTGAAGAGTTGGGAAACTGATCTAAAGAAATGATTCTAGAATGTGGCACAGAAAGATCCAGGCCATGGTGTGTCTTCCTGTTCTTTCCAGCTCCTGTTTTTAAATTGCTACAGATAGGCAGCCTCGTCACACATGCCACACCACACATGCTCCATCCTCACCACATGCAACCTGGTTGCCTGCTTTGTTTTTTACTGTGGAACTTGTTGCAATAAAATACACTATGTATCTTTTTTTTATTGGCAGCAACCACTCAATAAATTGTTGAATGAATGAATGAATGAATCTATGAAGGGTAGACCAGAAGTCAGCAATCTCTAGATTTTTTATCAACAGGGTCCCTGCTATTACTTTCCCTGATGCACTTGTCATTTTGAGAGATCTCTGACAAAGACCAAAATTTACTGAATAATCATTAAGTTCTTTGCCAACAAAGCCCTTTTGTGACAGTTTTCCTGTCTTTAAGTAAGAAGATAAAACCACGTCGGCTGGGGCAGTGAAGCTGTGGCCAAGCTGGGTAGTGGCCTCGACAGCTCCCAGGACGTCCCTTGGCCTATGTCCTGGCCACATACCCCAGGCTCTGTCCCTCCTGCCTCGATGGCCCTGCTTGGATCTGGGCTGGGACAGCCAATGTTCGGGGCCCAGGTGGTATAGGCATGGGCATTATTAGGATTTCAGGTTCCTTTCTTCAGGCTCAGGCTGCCAGCTGTCCTTGGCATGACCTTGGCGGACCTTGGTGGGCCTGACGGGCACAGACCAATGCTTCTTAGCTGCCACGGAAGAGGAAACTGGAGCAAGAGTGTCAGAATTAACACCTCTCAGGGGGCTCTGAGGGGCTTTCCTGTGAGTCCTGCCCCAGCTGTGTGGCTCAGAGGGAGAGCCCAGCAAGACACTACCCAGAGTCCAGTTCACGAGAAGTGACAGATGGGCATGACCTAAGAGTCCAGCTGAGGAGCGACAGCTGGCAGAAATGGGCTTGGATTGGCTTGATTTAAAGTGAACCCCTTTCTGTCTTTCCATGCTGGCTTATTTCACTTGACATAATATTCTCTAAGCTCATCCATGTTGCTGTGGATGGCAAAATTTCATTCGTTTTTATGACAGTAGTGTTTGGTTGTGTATATACACCAAATTTTCTTTATCCAGTGGTCCATTATT